CATTTTCTCATAGACTTCTATACAACCAGAGGAGTCGCCCCCTGGTGGACAGTAGAGAGAATGCAGCTTTAACACATGAAGCTTTGACTTCACTCTTCAGAACCAGAGGTTGCCTCCTGGTGGGAACCTGATCCGATCTCAATCTGACTTAACTATGAGGTGCACTCTGCAGGTGTGAAAAACACCAAAGCAAAGAGAAAAAGTTTAAGAACACGTCCTCTGACTTTGACCAGAGAAAATAAACTAAAGGTTTTGAAACTCTGTTTCAGGACAAAAATACTTTAAAAACTAACCTGTTTCGTTTGGTTGAAACAAACTCTGGTTTCCTCCTCTCCTCTACTCTCTTCCTTGTTTCCTCTGCTTTCATTCCTTTACTCTCACCTCTCCTTTCTTCCTTGTTTCCTCCTCTCCTCTCCTCCTCTTTCTTCCTTGTTTCCTCCTCTCCTATTTTCTCCTCCTCTTTCTTCCTTGTTTTGTCCTCCCCTCTCCTCTCCTCTCCTCTTTCTTCCATGTTTCCTCCCCTCCTCTCCTCTTTCTTCCTTGTTTCCTCCTCTCCTCACCTCCTCTTTCTTCCTTGTTTCCTCCTCTCCTATTTTCTCCTCTTTCTTCCTTGTTTTGTCCTCCCCTCCCCTCTCCTCTCCTCTCCTCTTTCTTCCATGTTTCCTCTCCTCTCCTCTCCTCCTGTTTCTTCATTGTTTCCTCCTCTCCTCTCCTCCTCTTTCTTCCTTGTTTCCTCCTCTCCTCCTCTTTCTTCCTTGTTTCCTCCTCTCCTCTCCTCTTTCTTCCTTGTTTCCTCCTCTCCTCTCCTCCTCTTTCTTCCTAGTTTCCTCCTCCCCTCTCCTCTCCTCTCCTCCTCTTTCTTCCTTGTTTCCTCTCCTCTCCTCTCCCAGCTCCTCCTCTTCCTCACCCCCTGTGTTTCCCTGTGTTTGTCTCCCGGCAGTGAGCAGCTACGGTGACGATGAAGATGACGATGGCGTCAGCTCCTCCGACAGTGAAGAAGAGGTCCTGAAGCAGTTCGAGATCTCGGTGTCGCGTTCGCAGAGTTTTCGTATTTCGACGACGGCGGCGAACATCAGCGAGCAGCAGACGCAGACGTCGCTCGGCCGACACCACAAATTCAGCCGACTGTCGGACCAGGAGGAAGGCAGCACCGAGCCGTCGGACTGTGAAGGTTCATCATCTGCACACGTTCTAGTAGAATTATGACCTGCTGTCCATTTACAGATCAACTATCACTGGAATGCTGTAAATCAACCGTTCACATTGATTAGTCCGGTATTCAAAATACCTGGACCTGAATTAAATTATAAATAAAAAATATTAAATAAATATTAAATTAAACTATAAATATTAAATAAATATTAAATATTAAATAAATATTAAAAATAAATATTAAATAAATATTAAATTAAACTATAAATATTAAATAAATATTAAATATTAAATAAATATTAAAAATAAATATTAAATACATATTAAATATTAGATTAAAGTATGAATATGAAATATGAAATATTAAATAAATATTAAATTATATGCTATAAATATATAATGTATTTATTGTTGTCTGGTTGTTTCTCAAACAATTAGTTTTTATGCATCATATTTTTTATCATATGTAGTTGTTGTCAACTCCTCTTCTATTAATAATAATATAATAATAAAACGTATATTTTGAATAGCGCTTGACTTAAAGGCACTTTACATGGTAAAAACAGAAACGGTAAAAGCACTAACAACAAAAACAAAGCAAATAAATGACATAACAGTAAAAAGACAATAACATAACTATGCATCACAGGTTAGTATGGGCTGATGTGATCTCTGTTTGTTTTGAAGTATTTTGTGTATTTGAGTGGAGCAGAAATCAACTGTTTCTTTTTTTCCAAAAGGAATCAAAACAAATTAAATTGTTTGCCTCAAAGTTTTCGCTCCCACTCATCAGAGGACTTTTGTTAAAGTTAAATTTGAAACAAGGTTTAATTTACAATAAACGACTGCGTCTCCAGTGTAGAATTAAGAAAAGTAGAAGAAGGACACCTGATGATCTTCAGAACAATGTTTAAAGTGAATGTTTCAGGCCTGGTTTTCTTCTCTCAGCTGCAGAGAAACCAACAGATCCACGACTAATCCGTCCCAGTGTCAATGAGCCAAAAGGCCCCAAAATAACGTATTTACTGCAGATTAGAGGCTGTAAAGAGCTCAGAGAGGCTCAGTGAGATCCACCGCTGCAGCTTCAATTAGGACACTCGTTAGTCCTCAGCTGGTTTGTGAAGGAAACAAACAGGAAACTTTTATTCTGATCTCGCTTTTGTTCAATTAGCTTTTTTTGTTGTTTGATCAATTTCAGGTAATCATGAAAAACTGGAAAAAAACAGACAGACGACAAGATTGAAAAACATTTGTATTTTTTACTATTTATGTAATTTCTTGAGTGTCATACTCGATTTGTTTGTGTCTTGAGATTTATAAAAAGACCATTTCTTGAATGTCATCAAATAATCAGCATTTTCTGTAGTTAAGTATTAAACATAGATTGCCAAAATGTTAAGTAATGTGGTTCCTAAAATGTTCTTCCGAAAAAATTGTGTTTAATGATAATCTCAACATCCAACAAAACATAATCTGGATTATTATTTAAACCGGAATCAGGCAGCGTGTCGCAATCTGATGGTTTATGTTTTCACACGCTGACATTTCCTCCTCTCCTTTCTTCTGTTTCCTCCTCTCCTTTCTTCCATGTTTCCTCCTCTCCTTTCTTCTATGTTTCCTCCTCTCCTTTCTTCTATGTTTCCTCCTCTCCTTTCTTCTATGTTTCCTCCTCTCCTTTCTTCCATGTTTCCTCCTCTCCTTTCTTCCATGTTTCCTCCTCTCCTTTCTTCCTTGTTTCCTCTTTTCATTTCCTTTCTTTTTCTTCTCTTCTCTCCTCTCTTCCTTGTATCCTCGTTGTAAAAAAGGTTAATTTTAACTCCGCTTTGTTTTTCATATTTCTTAAACTACACGATAAATTCAGAAAGAAAATAATCATCAGTTGCAGCAGTTTGAACTCCACCATCACTTTTCCCTTTATTGAGACTTTATTAATTTGGTTTCTTTCCCGGGAGCTTCTCCTCAGAGCTAGTAGCTAGCAGCTAACTTGCTAACCAAATAGCATCACACTAATTATCGTCCCAGTTGTTTTAAAACGAGCAGCTGGTTGTTGGTGACATTGTTCGGTTGGGGTCACTCTGTCTCAACTGGTATTTAAATCCCGTCTTCAACACACACACACACACACACACACACACTGATGACTCACCTCAGCCCGTTGCCATGGTTGACGCCCCGTGCAGCCGTTGATATAACAGTCAGACCGACCTTAATGATGGTGAATTGGAGATAACTGCTATTGATTGGTCCGAGGTACGGCCTGTTCTCCGAGTGTCTCTGTCTCGGGAAAAGGCCAAGGTGTGACGGATTACACAACATCACCTCCGGGAACACACAACACTCACAAAACGAGGTTCATGGAGCTTGTGAGACCCAAAATATTTTTTTTGTAGGTTATAGTTGAACGATGTTCACATTTATCAAACTGATTCGAATTTTAGTTATTTATACATTTTATTTGATTCAATTCTGCAGTTAATTACTTGCAAGTGTGGAAACCTAATTAGATTAACTAAACTTATTAGATATGAAAACAGGGCGTATAATTGCAACCCTTCTCAAAACGACTGTCCTCACACCCACAGATGTAAAGCCGACCGCCAGAGGAGCCTAATGCTGACTTTCCTCCCATGTTGCCTTCTTCCTGCAGAAATGGAGGCTCAGAGCCAGCAGCGGGGTTTCAAGGACCCGCTCTCCGCCGCGTTGGAGGAAAGCGAGAGTGCGTCGGCGGTCTCTCTGGACAAAACCGCCGGTCTCAAGGCATCGGGTATCGGGGAGAGTCCCGCCCCGAGTACAAACCGGCAGGCCGCAGATGGCAGCGAGGAGATGGAGACGGCCGTGGACGTCATGGACAGCTCCTCCGCCTGGAGCCCCGAGGTACTGCAGGCACTTTGACACTCCAACTGTTTTGTGCTTTAGATGATGAATGGATCAAAGTTTAGAGTGTAGAGAGCAAAGACTGTACATAAGAAGTGGACGTAGTCATCGTGACGTCACTCATTGGTTTGTAAAGTTGAGTTCAGCCGTCTCCATCTTGTTTTTTGCAACAAATTAAAGGAAGTGACCATATCTGGACTGAGGAGGAGTGACGTAGAGACGCCGTATACGTCTCTGGTAGAGACCTGTCAATCACTGTGTAGCCCCGCCCTAAAGCTTACCCTGCTTTATGGTCTGTTTGACTCGAAATGGACCATAATGTACTAAATGAACATCATGCTGTATTGAAGAAGACTTGAAACTAGAGATTGAGACCATAAACTCATGTTTACAATGTTTACTGAGGTAATAAATCAAGAGAGAAGTAGAGTCATTTTCTCATAGACTTCTATACAACCAGAGGAGTCGCCCCCTGATGGACACTAGAGAGAACACTTCGGTATCGGCTTCATTCTTCAGAACCTGGTAGAGAGATGGAAACGGCAATTCATAAGACAAAAGTGTTCTAAGGAGCATAACGTCCCAGATTAAATTCTCTGCTGCATGTCTTTATTCTTGTTCTACCTCCACGTTTCCAGTCTGTTCTGACTGTCGCCCCAAAAAGACGTATAATTAAAAAACCTGGATCCAAACAAATCTTCCCTCTCGTATGTTTGAAGTGGACGTGGGACAGAGTTTAGGTCACGTTGTCTCTCACGGCCACGTGGAGGCAGAATGTATAATTTTACTTTTCTAAAAAGAACTGCAGCAAGAAAAACTCTCCAGACCAGACTGACTAATATCAGAAAACCATTAACTTCAATAGATAAAAATAGACCACATGGGAAGTACACGGGAGGAAAATGGAGGATGTTTTTTTCAGATTAATTTACTGCCTTTTGAAGCTTTATATGCTTTTAAAGAGCTTTCGTCAGCCGAATAAAGGTAAAAAAATATAACTGGGAGCCTTGAATGATTGTAGATGTAGTTAAGAAGTTATAATATACTGTTGATAAATAAGTGATTTGAGTGGCTGCTAATTAAGTTTCTCTTCATATTTTAAGGTGTAAAGAAGTGACAGTTGGTTTAAATCTATTCTAAAACTATTTGAGACAAAATGAGAAAAACTCAAAGTTCAACATCATCTGGTTAATTAAGAGGAGTAGAAATCTGATTTATTTGATTGACAGAAGCATCTCATTGTTGCCTGATAATCAAACTTTACATTTCTATGCTTTATTTTTCATTCATTCAGGTTATCACGTTCTTGTTACCTTATTTATCGGTTATATTGTTTTGTTTTGCTCTAACCGATCACTATTGATTGAGCGATTGTGGCTAAGTGGATAGCAGGGCCGTCTTTCAATCAGAGGGTCGGTGGTTCCAACCCCGGCTCCGGCTCTGCTAGTCGCATGTCGATGTGTCCTTGAGCAAGACACTTAACCCCAAAATTGCTCCCGTAGTTGTGCCTACGGTGTAGAAATGTGATAGACTCTGAATTGTAAGTCGCTTTGGATAAAAGCGTCTGCTAAATGACTGTAATGTAATGTAACTGTGCCATGAATTACTCATATGATGTTTGTCAGTATAGAAGATCATTTTCTCGGTTATCTTGGCTTGCTCGTCAGCCTCAAGTGGCCATTCTAGGAACTGCAGCTTTTCGTACTTCCGTGTTGGCTTCATATTTCAGCCTCGGAGCTTGGAATGTTTTTTCACAGCGATCGATGAAATTAGCAGATTTATTCAAAGGTCTGAGTCGAAGCTAATCTCATCGGCAACAACAAACAGATGACTGTAAATTGTAATTTATATATAAATTATATTAACTTCTACCAGCAATTGTCCACTTAAACCAGTGAGGAGTGTGTTTATGTTGCACCCCATCGCTTACACCAGTACGACCACGAACAAGGGGATCGAAAGGACTCTTTTTCAGGGCCTTTAAGAAGCAATTTGTAGTGATTTTATTTCTATTTTTATTCACAAACTGAGACTTTACAATCTAAAAGACAAATCTTTAGAAAACCTCAACAACATTTCACAATTTCTCCGCCCCCCAAAAATAAATAAATAACCGTGGCAGGAATTACCTAACGGGGTCAGTGAGCTGACCGCAGCCCTGCTGTTACCCATCATGCTTGACAAAGGTATCATCATCCTCATCATCCTCATCATCCTCACTCAGCTGTGAGAGGATTATCACTCTGCCATGTTATCCTCTCAGGTTCATTTTGGAAGAAACAAACCAAACACGGCTCACTGAGGCCTCGAGGTTTCGTATGAAGAGTTGATATTTCCTCTCGCTCTCCACGCCACCCTAACCCGGCTAACAAACAGAAGCTCATGAATACTAATCACCGTGTGTGTGTGTGTGTGTGTGTGTGTGCGTGCGTGCATAAATACGGGCATACATCTACTTGACGTGTATTTCTGTGTGTGTTGGTTCATATAGGAGAGTGGGAATGTAGAATCTAACAACCTCTCAGTCACCGAATCACACTTTGAAATTGGGAGCAATCTGTGCAGCAAACACCTCCCACACACACACACACACACACACAAACAAACACACATATACACACACAAACAGGGTGACACTGACATCTAGAAACGCTTCATAAATAGCGGATGAGTTTTGGATCCGTGGAGCTGCAGAGAGCCGTGGTAGCAGTTTATTTATACGGTTGTATAACAGCGCTGCCGTTGCCAATGCTAAAGCTAGCTCTGCTGCTGCTGATAATACTACTATCTCAACGAGTAGCGCTAATATCAGTACGAACACGAATGCAAACGCTGCTAACGTTGGCAGTCAGTAAAAAAAACGCATATTCAGCCATATCGTTACTTATATTTTTTTCAAAGTTAAAACATACACGACGACATACAAAACTCAATATGCTGGAGGGGTATTAAATATCATTAGTATACTTTGAATCTTTGGAATAACTGACATCTTTTGCAAAAAATAAATCTATAAATCAAATACTGCAAGTACACTTCATGTTAAATACTTAACTTCTTATATCACAATATCTGTAATATCTACATACTACTACCAGTAACACTACAAGCACTACTATTTAAGTACTGGAAGTAGTAGCTCTACTCTAAAGATCAGCTGCAGAATCACATGTAATACTACATCTGTAATACTTAAACGTGGCTTCAGACTGTGGTATTTCTTCCATCACTGTTTACTTCATAGTGGTGCCTCGTACTTCTTCTACAGCCTGCAGAGGAAGAAGTAGTAAACATGAATTCTGACCTCCTGACCTGCACGTTCAACAGACTCGAGCGGCGGTTCCGTGATTATCTTATCTCTCTCTGAGGTTGCCATGTCGATGCCGAAACTCAGCACGGCTCTGTCAACACGCGACGCAAGCGATGTTGTGTTTGAGGAGGAGGAGGAGGAGGAGGAGGAGGAGGACTCAGTTTCTGTCTCTGAACATTTGAGACAAGCTTTTGACAAATGGTTTATTTTTACTTTGTCTTTATTTTTACTTTGTCTTTATTTTTACTTTGTCTGTATATATAACATAGAAAAATTATAAGAAAAATAGAAATAAGTATAGAAAATGTGTCCATTATATTACAATATACATTGTTCATACAACAATGAATATATAAAAAATAAATAAGAAGTATGTAAACTACACTATATATATATATAAATGTATAAATGTATATATATAAATGTATAATGTAAATAATCATACGAAAAAATGTGATCTATGATTAAGTTTGTTAAAATGCGAGAATTTAAAATCACATTAACAATTTTCAATATTTTTTACAGAATCAAGTGTTTTTTCTTGATTGTGGTGCAGAAATCTGCATTATTTATTAATTTATTTATTCATGTATTGAGTCCTTAAGAGAGAAATGTTACTGTTGCACCAGTATGGAGCAACAAAACAAACAAAAATAATGAGCAAAAGAAATACAAAACTTATTAACAATTACAAATACACTTATAAATAAGCTTGATGTGTTTTATTTCCCCTTCTCAGCAAGAGGAGCCTCCCCAGGACGAGGTCTCGTCTCAGTCGGCGACCTCTTCCCTTCGCCCCCCCATCTCCACATGTGGAGACCTGGTCCTCTCTTTGGAGTACCGCCCCGACACAGAGAAGCTGCTGGTCTCGGTGATCGCGGCGCGGGACATCCCCGACAAGGCCCGCAGCGGCATGGACTCCTGGCAGGTGCACATGGTCCTGCTGCCCGCCAAGAAACAGCGCCACAAGACGTTGGTGCAGAAGGGCTCGCTGCCGCAGTTCAACGAGACGTTTCGCTTCTCGCGCGTGGAGCCGTCGGAGCTGCAGATGTTGGCCGTCAGGTTCAGGCTGTACGCGCTCGGGGCGTCCCGGATGTCCCGCGAGAGGATGATGGGCGAGAAGGTGCTGCGTTTAGGCGGGCTGGACCCGGACGGAGGGACGATGGAGACCACGCTGGTCCTGGAGCCTCGCAGTAACCTCAAGGTGAGGTGGTGCATTTTTTTGTGGGTCTTTGTGCTGCAGGTTTGTGTCGATGTCCGCTTCTTCTTCTTTTTCACTGCTGCTCACTGTGTTTGTCTCTGCCAGAGCTTGGACTCCCAGATGAGTCTGTCCGCTGTGTCTCAGAGCGACAGCGCCTCGTCCACTCAGTCTCTGACCCACGGTGGTGTCCCCGAGCTGCTGGTGGGCCTCACCTACAACGCCACCACGGGACGCATGTCAGTGGAGCTCATCAAAGGAAGCCACTTCAGGAACCTGGCCATCAACAGACCACCAGGTCTGCTATCTTATAACTTAAATCATGATCACACACATACTGGATAGTTTATACCAAAGTCTGTGTATAAAACTATTTAAAATACATTTTATTTGTTCTCGGTCAACAATTAAACCCAGTGTTTGTGCGCAATATTAGTATTTTACTATGTGGAGAATTAGATTACAGGATTGTTTCAGACTCGAATCCGGACTGAGAGGGGCAGACTGTCAGACCCTGCTGCAGTAGAATGAGAGGTTTTCTAAAGGGACCCTGGTACTCGGTGACACTACCAATTTTGGTCCACATGGACCAACAGAATCAAGACAAGATGAAAGAAAGTTTATTTAATAACAGCAATAATTCGCTTTATTCAAATTGAGGATTTTGTTCTCGGTTGTATTTTTGTTGTTGTTAGATACGAGTAAGAGGGGCTACAAGGAAAAAAGGTTGAGAACCACTAACACCTCTAAACTCTAACACACAGAGATATGTGTTTCGAAGTTAATCGATAAAGGTTATTCTTATATACACAAGTTGGGGAAAAGTTTATATTAGATGCTAACATGACAGAAAGAGCTTCACGTTAGTATATCTCCCTCTTCCTCCACTCCAGACACCTACGGCCGTCTGACCCTGCTGAACTCGGTCGGTCAGGAGATCTCTCGCTGTAAGACGTCGGTGCGTCGCGGCCAGCCCAACCCTGTCTACAAGGAGACCTTCATCTTCCAGGTGGCGCTGTTCCAGCTGTCGGACGTCACGCTGCTGGTCTCCATCTACAACCGCCGCAGCATGAAGCGCAAGGAGATGGTGGGTTGGATCGCTCTGGGCCAGAACAGCAGCGGCGAGGAGGAGCAGCTCCACTGGCAGGACATGAAGGAGAGCCGAGGACAGCAGGTCTGCCGCTGGCACGTCCTGCTGGAGGCGTAACGCCACCCACATTTAGGGTTTTGTAAGAGGAAAGGGAGTTTATTCTTTTTACGTTGGGGGAATGGTTTTGATCGGCGCACCGGATGCTGCATGTGGCTTCAGAGGGGCGATGGATTGAAGGACTTCTCAGAGCAACACTCCACCGTCGTCGCATCTAACAAAGCTGGTTGTTTTGCTGTCGACGAGAGGAACAAATTCACCCGCTTCCGGAGGCCGAAACAAGATTTGAAGTCATAAAGAAATGAATAGAAGAAAAGCCTTCAGCGAGGTTCCACGACAAGTATTTATTTTGTCGTGGTAAAACCTTTATGGATTTGAAGGTTTCTTCCTTCTTTGCAGAAGATCCGTCGGCCTCCAAAAGGAGCTGAGAATGTGTCCCACATTTATAGCTTTTTGTTTTTGTTAAAGCAGCTCAGCTGGGAGATGAGGGAGCTGCAGTTTAGTTTTTGTAGTGAAATGCTGTGTTAGAAAGTACACACAAATTAGAGGGGTGTGTGTGTGTGCGTGTGCGTGTGGGTGTGTGACTTGTTATTTCTGAAGCTTGCTGTTCTTTTACTGTTTGGCAAATCAATGAAGATTTCTGAACGAATGCAGACAGGAAACGCAAAGAAGCAAACGTCCTGAAAATGTAAAACTGAGAATATAATGGTCACGTCCACTTTAGAAAACACAAACAAAACAATTAAACAATAATAATCAATAAGTCAATAATTCAACGTAACTTGTATCAGACATTAAATCACTGACATATCCTCATTTTATTTTCACCTCCACAGCTCGAATTTGGGCTTCAATTAACAAACTAACTTTCTTCACGTTAACACATAAAACGAACAGCAAGCTCATATTTCCAACATGTTTTTCTACTTTTAGTAGCTTTGACTGGAGCTCTTTTAATGACGTCATCTCGTCTTCTGCAATAGTTTAATGGTTCTCCGCTTCTCTCGATGAAGTAATATTCTATGGAAACATGCATTAATTTGCATTTTCTTTAAGCAAATTTTCTAAAGATTTGGTGAAGATTTGCGCTTCATGTGGATGGAAACCTCATCCTGAAAATACTGAAACAAACACGAGAGTAGAAGTGAAGATGTTGTTTGTTTTTTTAAGTGGGAGCAGGAAGGCGTCTCATTCATGTTCAGCAGCACTCATTCATATTCTCCCCCCGACTTGTGTGCTACTACAGGAGGCAGGAAGCGACCGGCAGCTGGAGACTCTTAACCAGCGACCTCCTTCACTGAGGCAAAGCTCATCTCAACGACCCGTCGACGCTGAGCTGAAAAGAGGCTTTAAATATATCGCTGCAGCTGTTGATGATAACATGCGATGAATTACCCTGGAAGTGTGTGTGTTCTTTACCCCCCCCCCCCCCCCACGCTCACTTGCTCTGTGGTAATTGGTAGTTGTATTGCTGTGGAATCGTACAGTGCTGCTGATAATGCAGGGGATTATATTTGTTTGTGTTGACAGATACTGTAGCTCCAAACCCCTCGGGGGGGCTGGTTTATTTGAGCGTTTGTTTTCTTCAGGCAGGTGACAACAAAGCTCTCTTTAGAAAACGAAGAACTGCAGCTCGCTTTGAAAAAACCTGCAAAAAAAAGATGGTCTGTAAATGACTTTTAGAAAGTGAAGCACAACAATATATATACTCACAAAAGAAACCCCCTATTTTTTGGTGCCATGAACACAATGTTCACAAAAAGCCCACAAAGTATGTTAAGCATTAACATTAAACTATTGCTGTATGTACGAGATGGAAGAAGATAAATGCACAAAACAAAGTATGTGAACAACCACATACAATGTTTATAAGTGAAGACTGTTTCTGAAGATTCAAATGTTGATGATAAACCCGAAACCTCGTGAAGCACATGACTCCAACAAACTTTACCTTTCATAGTTTTAACTGACGTGTTTGTGAAGCAGACGTTTGACAAACAAAATGTCACAGATTAACACAACTGACCCACCACATGAGAAGAACCTGTCCGTCACGATGAGAACACAATGATTTACTTATTTTATTCAGAGGAGTAAAGTCTGAAAACAAAGGTCTTTATATTCAAAGATGAATGAGACGTGGAGGAGCACAATTCAATGGACGCATTCTATATCTGTTTAATGCAGGAAACGAGCTGTAAAATGTTGACTGTCTTGTGTTTGAACTGGAAATATCTGTGATGATGAAGAATACTTCAGGTATAGATGAAGCATCGGGGGGAGAATAGGAGTGCTGCAAAGGCTGGATGGTTTTTATTTTTGTTTAATTTGAATTCTTTTTTGTTTATAAACACTTTTCAAATAACACTTTTCAATAAACACTTTCCCAGAATAATGGGATTTTGAGTTTAACCTACGTTTGGGCAAAAAAAACAGAAGTTTACTACAATTAGCTTCTGTTTCGTTAGCTTGTTTTTCTTAGTGGCTATTTCTCTTTTTACAGTAAATGGGTATTTAACCGCTGTATGTGCTGCTAAAACAATTGGCCCTCCTTCAGTTATTGTTACAGCAACAGTTTTACCCCTCAAAATTAATAATAAATCATTTGAATGGCAGCTAATTGATATTAGCTCTGTAAATTGTTGGAAACATCTCTATCTGACTCGTATTACCTGCCAATGCAGCATCTTAAATATGCATTGGCTGCATACATGATATCATGCTAATTTAGCTCTAAAGGCTAAAGCTAGCTTAAAGAAACTAACATTGTTAGCTAGTTAGCCATAGCAAGTTACAATACCAGACTACTTCATAGAAATACATGTTTTTAGCTCTTTCAACAAAGCTTGGATTTTCTCTTCATTTATCAAACAAAATCATTTATACAATAAACTCCTTTGTGGATTGTGAGTAAACTGTCCTCAAACCACATTAGGAGCAGGATAGATGTTCATGTTAAAAGTGTCGCTAGGTTACTACTGTAGGTATTACGCTAGTTAGCGGGCCTGCTAACGTTAGCGTCTCGCTTTAATCCCTTACAGTTTTCTTCTTGTTTTTAGTTTTGGAAATGAGAGAAAATACTTCAGAGTGCAATGTTTAAATCACCAAAGCTAGTCAGACCTAAGCTGCTAAGCTGTGATTTGACAATAACTGTTTGGTTAAAGGGTTAAGCTAACGGTCAGTAGTTTAATTTGCAATTAAATTTGATCAGTTAGCTAGCTAGCTAGCTAGCAGAATACCTAACTTTTTGTATTTTAAAATTAATAAACTCCAAGGCAGTTTTGCTGTGTTTAGGTAATGTGTCTTTTAATGTATTGCGTCATACAAATTAATTTAAATAATTGTTTTGTGAAATAGCAAAAGCACAGACAGTAAATGTCATATTGTAGCACAACAAACTGCCAACACATGTTTTTTTTCCAGCATATTACAAAACGGTATTCTAGGTATTGGTAGTATTTATTGCCAATAAGTCACCTAAACGCTGGTCTAAATGAACTACTATTACATGTTGATACCAGCACTCCTATTCTACAGGCTTCATACATGTGAGTGTGAATAGTGACATGAATTTACTGCACAGATTGATATATTTTATGCATGTCGAGTTGTTGTACAGAATCTATAATATCTATTATATATTTTATAAAACAGTAAATGGTTAATGTTCTATTTGTATTGACACGTCTGCATGCTCAGTTTGAGATCCCAGGTTGTATTTACAGATCGATCAGATTGTGCTGCCGATGTGATGCCGTCGTAATACTCTGATGAAGAAGTGCCTGTAACATTTTTAAGATGACACATATCCACCACGAAGAAAAAAACTAAAACAAACAGATGATCTAAATTTGCATGAAGCCTTCTTGTTGTTCCCTGTGAATGCTGCTGTAGGTCTGCATGCATGGAAGGTGGCTGCAGGCCCTGAAGTCAAGGCCTGGACCAGGACTGAGGTTCAGGTCCAAGTCAGACCAGATTCAGTCAGGTTCAAGTCCACAACAGGTCAGAACAAAGACCAAAGTCAAGGGAGACGCCATAGCAAACAAAGAATTAAACTTGTTAAAAGTTATTTTTTAATACGATGTTTATAGGAATAGTTTTTGTGAAATACGCTTATTTGCTTTCTTGTCACAAGGGCAGAACTGGAGTCAGTGCATCATTAGCTTAGTATAAAGACTGGAAGCAGAGGGAAACAGATCTGTCTAATATTCAAACCTATCAATCCCTCTAAAGTTCACTAATTAACCATTTTTATCTGGTTTGTTTAATAAAGATTTGCCACAAGTAACTCCTCGTAAAAACCACACACCATCTTCTTAACAGTTCTGTTTTTGTACGGATTTAAACATACAAGACGAGTTAATAATTCGTGAACTCTAGAGGTGTTAGAAGAGCCAGGCTAGCTGTTTATCCCTGCTGCCAGTATTTATGCTAAGCTAGGCTAATCACATCCTGGTTCTGGTTCGGTACTCACCGCACACAAGTGGGAATAATGTCGACCTTCTCATCTAACTCTCTGCAAGAGAGCAAATAAGCATTTCCTTAAATGTAGATTATTCTTTTAGATATACATCAAACGTATTTTAAAAATAAAATTCAAAGCATATTCAGAAGACTATTTACGGTCAGTCTTGAGTATTTTTTGTAATTTTTCTTTTAAAACTAGAAATTAAAGATAAGTGGTTATAATGTTCAACCAAAATCAGGACTTTTTAATCCACTGTCAACAAAAACAAGATAAATTGAGTTATTTTTTTTATAATACAATTAAATATAATATCTATTTTTTTTAAGTAGAACACAGTCCCCTTTTCATTTTCTGAAAGTCTTGTTATGGTCTTAGATGTTCATTGACATCCAAAGTGGAACCTTCCTGTGGAGACTAGACTGTAGACCTGTAGTCCTGGTCTGGTCTGGTCTGGTCTGATCTGGGTCGTGCATGCTGAGCCGTCGCCGCACCCAGAAAGCACTTTTTGTACCAAGTGTTGTCGTTGCCATTAAAACCCAGAAGACCCCGCTGTGGGAACGTCTGTCCGCCATCTGGTTTCTTGGGTCTCCGTCCTGCTCAGATGTCTTAATTCTGAGAACGAGGCTTTTCTAACCACCAGTTAACAACAACAACAAGTTCATCCCGCTCTGATTGGTAGTAGAGATTTCCAGTTTCACTCAGGAAATCACACACAGTGGATTACAGATTAGGGTTTTTTGGGGGAAAGTTTCATCTTTGGCAGCAGATTTAGCCGACAAACATGCAGCGTATTTATGTTGCTGTTTATTAGCTGAATAGTATCAAGTGTTCAGTTCACCGTTATTCTTTCTCAAAAATAAAATTATTCTTTATTTTTCTCTCTCAAATATTTTAAACATGACACCAGAAGCTGTTTTATGTTCCTGATTTAAACGATCTGTCAATGGGTCACTTTATAATCTACAATTTATTCTCCAAATTTACTGTTCAAGGACATTTAATAGCCAAGAAATAGTCAAATGTATCCAATATATCACTACTATCCAACAATATTTACAATAAGATTACGAGTATTTCAGCACGATACAATATCAGCTTGGTGGCATTGTGTTTTAATTAAAAATCTCCAAAAATAAGGTTATTATAGATTATTATTATTATAAAGAATATAACTTCATAACGGTGTTGAAAGTTTAAATCCTTATAGATTCAAGTATAAAATGGGTGAAAGTTGCTTTATGTGCTGCTTATGGAATACATTCTGTAGTTTTACTTTTGTTTGTCAGACATTTAATTATTTTTGTCCTGGACAATGTCTGATAAATAGTATTTTTATAGATGTATGAAAGAGCTGATAAAAGAAACCCATAACAAACCATAAAATAATTTAAATTTTTACAAGAAATACTGATTTATTTTTTATTAGTCATTAACAATATTGGGAAAACTAAACAAGCCAATAAATTAATTCCATTCAGCTTTAGTTACATTTACAAGTTTGAGAACCGCTGGACTCAACAAACAGAAAAAAAATATTTGATATTTCTAACAAAAATAAAGCTAAAAAATGTAAAAAATTGATAGAAAACAAAACAAACATAACAGGGTATTAGGATAAAAATAATAATAATAACTGTTTAATCACTTTTTGGAAGTGGTGTGCCTTGTGTCAAACAAAACAACAGAAGATATTTGACTTGTGGAGGCGGACATTTGTCTCTGTGGCTCTGTGTCGGTAAAAAGCAGCACACACACACACACACTCTCTCACAGACACAATCACACAAACACACACACCTATACACACACCTACACTTATACACACACATACACGCACACGCACACTTGCACACACACACCTACAAACACACACACACATGCTAGGAAGACGAGGATTGATGCTGGAGGTCATCGCCGCGCTTACTCTGTCTCCTAGCAACAAGAAACATCTGCCTCCGCGAGGACCAATGAGGGCGCGCGGAGAGCGGAGCGTGTTGTCTCGTGTTGCCGTGAACGGGATATTTTAGGAGGCTGGAGAGTAGCGAGCGTCTCACCCCGGAGGGAGCTGGAGCTGTCTGTCTGTCCGTCCGTCCGTCCGTCTGTCTGCAGGAGCCGAGGGAGCCTCTGACTTCAGGCCGAGCTGGAGTGTCGCTGAGTCGGTGTGAGGACGGTAGATGTGGCGCCGAGGAGCGGAGGACTTTACCTGCAGGATTTTACTGACCTGCTGCTGCTGAACGGAATTATTTAAAGGTAAGAAGCTTTGACGGACATTTTTTTTTTGTTGGTGGATTTAAACGGTGGTGCATTTTAAAACAGCAGCTGTACTCGTTTCTAAACTGAGATTAGAGGCAAGTTTATTTGTGCAGCACCTTTCAAACATGGAGGCAAAGGTGAGGAAAGAATAAAACATATATAAAAACACTAAGAATAAATTAAATTATTAGATAAAATAAAGTGCACATGGAGAAAAAATATTATATTTTTTAAACAATATTTATCTAAAATTAAAAACATTAAAAAATATATATAATGAACATCTCTGTTCTCCAAATCAGATTGTCTTGATTTTTTCTGATAAAGTGAAGGATTACGTGTTGATCAAATCATCCTCATAATCCTAATAATATAATATAGTAAAATAATGTATTTGATGAACAATGCTCAAAACAGGGCGGGGAAGTTGATATTTGGTAATAGTGAAAGTCCTGTTACTTTACTTAGTTTATGCACATTTTACACCAATCTTAATGAAGATAAATGTGGTTTTAAGGGAGAAAACATGTCGTTCTGTGCACACACACTTTAGTGGAAGCATTTGCTGTAAAAAGATCGTATAGCAAGTGTTGCATCCACACACACACACACACACTTCCCACGCAGCCTCTCTCTCTCTCTCGTTTCCATCATCATGCATCATTCTCCCACAGATTAAATATTCGGGCTGCAGTTGGATGTTTAAAAAAAACAGTGTGAGTCACTGCAGCAGTTTCAGGAGAGCCGGCGTGAATGTTTCGCAACGATAAAGCTTCCCACTGTGTTTATGATTGATTTGTGGCATTTAGAATAACACGCACACACACACACACAGACACACACACACACACACACACACACACACACACCGCCCTCTTATCTCTCCTCCTCCTCTTTCTTGAATTTCAATGAGCTTTCAAGGACGGCAGATTTTCTGAAAAGACAGCTCTATAAATATTATGCAAAGATATGATAAACATTAAAGAGGGCAAATCAGGACATCATTCAGCTCTGCACTTACAGTTTGTGAGTATACTTTTAATGTGGAAATATGTCAGAATAAAATACAGAGGTTCATTTACATCACTTTACAAATACATCTTCAACACGTTATGTTGTTCCCTTTTCGTTGTTTTTAATACATTTCTATTTATTTTTTCACCTTTATTTTCATTATTGATACATAATTTCATTGACATTTATTTTTATTTTATTTCATCTTTTATTTTTTACTTTTTTACCTGCTGACAGGTGTAAAGGCGATGATGAGATGAACCTTTACAAAGAGAGCTGCAGTCATGTAAACTCTGATTCAGACTTTACATCAAAACATGTCAGTGTTTTTGTCAGAAGTTAAAATATAAAATTGTAAGTAGGGTAGTAGTAGACTTATATATCCAGGTCGCACAAATGTGATTTTGGTTGCCAGCCTGACAGATTACAGTCACGGCTAGTTTCTGCATTCATGCTCTGATGTTGTGGTCCTGTCTCTCCTTCCATCCTTCTCCTCCTCCTCCTCCTCACCTGTCTCCTCCCTGCAGGAGTCTGAGGGCGATGTGGAGGCTCAGATCAGCTCAGACGCACTGATTCAGAGAGCTGAGCGCCGGCTGTGGAGCGTCAGCAGCAGGTAATCACATCTGTCACCTCATTTAGCCCAAACGGCTTCACATGAG